TTACATGGTGAGATAGACACATAGCTAGAAAGGTTTATTTCAAATTTAAATTTTTTTAAAGATGAAGAGAAGTGACCAGATGAAGGGAGGTCAGACAAAGGTTGTTAGGAGAGAGGTATAAAATAAGGAGAGGGAAAGAGGGACAAGACTGAGAGTGTAGGGGAGTATGGGAAAGTGTAAGGCAAGTAGAACTCACAGTGGTAGTCTGGGCAGGTGTGACCAGCGGGGGGGGGGGCTGAAAAAAAAAAAAAAAAAAAAAAAAAAAAAAAAAAAAAAAAAAAAAAAAAAAAAATTGCAATACTTTTTAAAATAGAATTTGCGGGAGAAAATCTTGTATAGAAAATAGAGATTGTGCAGAGTGGATGCAACATGAGAATAGTAGATGGGATCTATGTGGGGAGGAAAAGTTTTTATTGGGCGGAAACATTCATGTTCATGAGGGAGAGATCAAAAATTGCAGAAGCAAAGGGAAATTATTTGGGGGAAGTAAGGCAGGAAAATATCAAAGAAAAAAATGCATGTGAAAAGTAGAAAGGAGATGAAAGAAGTCAGAGACAAATAAGCAGGCCAGAAAGAGGGAGACAGGAAAAGAAACCTTGTCAACAGTATCATTCAGGGTTTTGTGTTACAGCTTATATCTAAGAGCAGATCACCTCTTGATTTTTTATTTTAAGGGAGCAGTTTAAAACCACAACTAATGCTTAAAAGTATCCAATTCCTCTCTAGTCCTTTAAAGCTGGTCATAACAAGTTAACAATAAAAATATATGGTACTAAAGCCAGAGATCCAATTTCTTAGAGTATCAACCCACAAAACCAGATGCAAATCTTTTAAAAAAGATGATTGAAAAAAATAGGAGAAAATAATTAAAAATTAAAGAAAATAGGCATATGTAAGGTTATCATTCATCAAATCCTTTTTGGATTGTAATGCTTTGTGAGTCTCTTGCAAAAGAAGAAAGGTTTAAATGCAATTGCTATTCCATTTGAACTGGTTTCACGTTACATGGCTTACCACCGCCAAAGGAGTGGTATGATATTTTTCCCATTGTGGTGGTATTGGGTCTCAAACAGCACAAAAAATGCAAACAATAACTGATAGAAGAGAACTCTGGGGTCTAATGTTCCATGAGGAATGCAAAGGTTTAGCAAAGATAAAAAGCATCATGACAGCAGTGCTACATGACGGTCATTCCAGCACTTTATAGAAAAATAAGTATAAATACAGACTTACAGTCTGATCTTATAAGTTGAAAACCATGAAAATTTCTGGGTCAACATTGCAATAAGTACCAAAACTACTGTAAGAGCCCTACAAAGAAAAGACAGTGATAACTGTGGTAGATGATGTAGGTGCCATTGTTATGTGCTCCCACAGAAGTTGATACAAGAAAAATCTTGCCAATTGTAAAATTTTACTCTATATATTGACTGTATATAAAGAATACCACTGACTGGTTGAGGTTGTCAGGCACCACTGGAGGTCACCTAGTCCAGCCTCCACTGGCCAAAGTAAGATCACTGAGAGCCGGTTGTTCGGGGCTGGGTACACTTGAGATTCCATGAGTATCTTTGAGGATAGAGACACCACAATGTCTCTTTGCAACTTGTTCCAGTGTTCCACTACTCTCATAATAATACTGGAATTTTTTTTTGTTTTTACTTTTTGATGGAATTTACTGTATTTCAGTTTGTGTTTGTTGGACCACATTTGAGAAGTCTGTCTGTCCTTACCAGGTTTTCATACACATTAGTAAGATACCCCCATGTCTTTTCCAGGCTGAACAGTCCCAGCTCTCTCAGTCTTTCTTGATCTGGCAGGAATTCTAAAAGATCGTTCTTAGTTTGAGAAGTTTGTGAAGTGTGAATTTCCTGTTAGTATCCAGCTCTAAGCAGAAAAAATAAAATTGCCAGATTATTAAGTGCTTCCTACCCCTTCTCTCTCTGTTACTTTTTTTCTTTGTAATAACTTCTTCTTTTTAAACTTTCCAATTGATTTAATAATCTGAGTGTAATAACGAAGTTTCCTTCCTGCCTACAAAAAAGTATGACTGATCACACAAACAATTATGTGCTATTTAATGCGCTTTAAGTATGAAGGTCTGCAATTATTAGGTACATCTAGGATACACGATGCTACAATTTAATACATGATTTTTACTTGAAAGTTTTCCTTTTTTTCAAATGTGCTGCATAATACAGAGAGATTTAAAGGAGGAAATCTTGATTTCTGAAGTGACTGGTTCTGCATACATCATTTATGTGTGCAAATAATGCAGGTATTGAACTGTGTGCTGAGATTTCTCGTGATATTCCAGGACTGTATATTTTTGTAGGAGGCCAAATTAAGGAACCCTTGAAAATATTTTATATCACTGATATAAACTCTGAAAATGCATGCAGAGAACATTGCATCATCACTTAGAATGAACTTGCTTTATGGAAGTATTTAGGGACTAAGATGAGATGTAGGGTTTGGGTTAGGAAAGGAAAGGAAAATA